AGGTGTGTTTTTCAAGCTCTTCTTAAACTGAACTAGTACATATGTAAATTGAAGTGCATGTATGTGAAGTTCCAGCTGGGAAAAAAATAAATCCTAAACAGATTGAAGCGAGAAAATGAATAGTTAGGGGAATGTCAGTAAATATTCAGATATCCTCACAGTTTCTTAAATAAATGCACATTTGTAAAATATCAGATTGCATATTCCAAAGACAGCTTTAACTCTGTTCCTGCATCCATTCCCAGTCTTAGTCTGCAGACCAGAGAACCCCTACAGACAGAACGCTACATCAAATAAATTCTGAGGTACAGCCATCACACAATATGGTTAAGTTGGAATATTTTTACTGTTTAATAATAGACAAAGTGGATATTTTATTTTAGAATCAAAGTGCTGTTATGTGGATTTATGGTTTATAATGTTGGCGGTGTTTCTGAGTACTTTCTTTTCCAAAGTACATAAATATAAAGTGGTAAAAATTTTGGTTTTAGCTTATAAATGTAGTTAATAATCTGTTCAAACAATAAAAAATTCTATTTATTAATGGCCAAGAAATGTTAGGGGTGCTTGGTTTTTCTTCTTACAGGGGGATCATTTAAATCAACTGGATGAAATGAATAGACAGTGAATATCACAATGGTTTGGGGGGATCATGTGGAACTTCAGTTATTAATCCATTAAAGTCATTACTGCCTCCGAGTTTTATTTAAAAGTCAGGGTCTTTTTTAAGGATTTCGTTAATGAGGAAGAGAGCTATTTGTGTTTGATCCATCCAGAGTATGCATGGATGTGTACTCATGGACTGGCTGAGGGACCTTCTTTGCGTGGGTTTGTGGCGCTGAGCAGTGGGTAGGCAGTGACGTGCGAAAGCTCTCATGGACTTTGCATTGATTGTCCTGTTCTGACATCCTGGTTTTTACTGTGCTTACAATATATGCAAACACGTCAGGCAATTAGGCATGTGAAGACCTGGTTCTGCTTCATTATTTGACTTCCTGCAACTAATAATGAGATTTTTGAAAGATTTAGTGCTATGCTATTGAGTATAAAAGAAGATTGGTGGCCTGTGCAATGGAGTTAGGTGTGGTAGATTAACTTTGCCCTGGCATCTGTATAGAAGCCTCTCTGTAGGTATTATCAGCTGTAATTGGCACTGTTGCCAGAAATAACATGGCAGTATCAAAAACGTGGGTGTTTTAAGGGTGTAGCTGGGAGATTTGAAGTGTTCGCTTGTTTGTTTAAATTAATAAAGACCCACAAGTTTTTTTTCCTTTCCTAGGTTATTGTTGAATTTTGTAATTTTAATTCTTTTCAATATTCTTTATAAAGTCTGCTGGTGTCCAAATTACATATAAGTACTTAAGAAAAAGCTAAGTATCATGGCAGCACATTGAAAATATCCACTTATGGGCACAGTAATGGCCTAAAATGAAATAAAGTCCTAACAGGTGGTAATGACTAGAAATGATCAACAAAAGTTTTAAATGATGCCCAGGCAATGACTGTTGGATACTATAATAACGATTCATAGCATGAATGCGAGTTTTTATTCTCAGAAAGGTACAGGATATACCATGATTTTGAAATTCCTGGAGGAGTCCAGTGCATTGTGTTATTTACTACCTCTTTCCAGTAAAACTGTGGCTGTGAGAGTAAAGCAAGTTAGAGTAAGCACGTACTTGACCTCTGTGGGACTGATTTCTCCTGCACTCAGAGGCTGGCTCGTAGGCCTGAGTGCTGGATACTTTTCAATGAATGGGTGACCCTGAGATCAGAATGGGTTACCAGGAAGGAGCAACAGCATAAATCTAAGATTAGTAACCCCTATGCTAAATACTTTAAAGGATCTCCCCATTGAAATTCTCAGTACATGCTTCACAAGGTCATTAAACCATCAACTGTAACTGTACTAAGAATTAAGAATATATTTTCCATTACAATTGTTATCTTAAATATGAGAATTTTCTTCCCCCTAAAGAAAAACGCTTCTGGTTATTTCCAAAACCCACACTTAACAGGGTCAATCCTGCACAGGGGCCGATAGGTTTCCTGAGGAGTTATAATATGAGCATTAATAATCAGATTATTGGAACTGAAGTAATTGTAAAATTTGAAGTTTTTAAGTTGTGCTGCTTACTTTTTGTGTTTCTGGTTTTGAACTAATTTCAATTCAGCAGTCAATTTCAGGGTGCTTTATAGACCTCTTCTGCATGCAGGTTTCTGTGTGCATTACTCTGCCACATTGCCTGTGTTACAAATATTACTCATAATTTTTTGCACGTCTTTCCTTCTGAACATGAAAATTAGCACTAAGGCCTTAGGTTTGGCTTTAGAAAAGGCTTTTTTCAGTCTAAAGGAATCTTACGGTGTCACATTCAGTCTCTCCTGTGAAAGTTAAATTTCTTTCTCTTCCTTCCTTTTATGTTCAAAAACTTAAATAATTTATTGCTACAATGGAATGTGTACTGAATCCAGTAACCAACAGAGGATGTGGAAAGATTTATTGGGAGAAACATTAAGAGCATTCCTGGCCAGGTGTATTTTATTTCTTTCTTGTGAAATGGAAAAAAAAAAAATAGACCTCCAGCCAACTTCAGATATGGCTGGAAGCCCATTTGGAAAACAGTGTCTGTAATTGTGAAGTGCTTCTCAAGACAAACTGAGCAAAATATTATGAGGGGCACATAGAGATATGGCATTGCTGAATAGCAAGAAATGTGTTGTTCGATTTTGAAAGCAACTGCAGTGTTTGCTGTCTGAGTGGGTGTGAACACATGACTTCCACTCTCCTCGTGCATTATACAGCAGTTTATACCCATGGGAAATGAGGGAATAAAAGTCCTACCAAATCCTCAGTCCATGACAAAAGATCCTGAAGGAGCAGGACCTAAGTACAATTCCGCACTCCTTGCTTGACTGATAGGAGGTGCTACTCAGTGAACTGCAATATATAGATGTGGTGAACATTTTTATCCTACCACAATTTTTTAGAGCTCTAATAAATAATTTTACTTCCTATTAGAATATATAACATGAATTTGTGGAGGGTAATCTTTTGCAGAGTTACAAATTGTAACAGCTTACTTATTTGATGATTTTTAGGACAAAATGCTAGTTGAATACAAACATAATTTTTTTTCAGGAATTGTAAAAGAATCAGTTAAAAACTAGCTATTTTTGATTCTATCCGGTTACCTCTCTGGCATGTTTCCTATAATTTACATAAATCACAAAGTTAATACAAGTATTAACATAGAATCATAGTTTGGTTTGGAAGTGTCCTTTAAAGGTTAGTTATCTACTCCTGTCCTGCTGCAGTGAGCAAGGACATCTTCAACTAGATCAGATTGCTCAGAGCCCAGTCCAACCCAACCTTGAATGTTCAAGGAGTGAGGCATCCACCACCTCTCTGGGAAACCTGCTTCAGTGTTTCACCACCCCATCATAAAAACTTTCTATATCTAGTCTGAATTGACCCTCTTTTATTTAAAACCGTTACCCCTTGTCCTGTTGCTACAGGCTCTACTAAAAGATCTGATTCCATCTTTCTCGTAGGTCCCCTTTAAGTAATGAAAAGCTGCAGTGAGGTCACCTCCAGAGCCTTCTCTTCTCCAGCTGCAACAACCCCAACTCTCTCAGCCTGTCTTCATAGAAGAGGTGCTCCAGCCCTCTTATGATTTTTGTGGCTCTTCTTTGGACCTGCTTCCACATAGAGAGTGTTCCAGGGACACCCTTCCCCTTTTGGTTTTTCCTTCCACTTCAATTTCTTAATCTCCAGCTCCCCTCTGTGCTAGCTGAATAGGTAGGTCCCTTCAGCAGTTTTCCTATTCCTTAAAAAGCAGGTTTGGATGTTACGTTTCTGTACAAATTGTGGAAACAGTTTCTTCTTTCTCCATTAATCTGAGTTTCTTAAACATTCTCTGGAAAATTCTTCCTTCATGCAGTGTCTGAATAAAAAAAGAGGGGAAAAGATACAGATTCAAACTGCTCCATCCTTCTACCGTGGGCAGGAAGCTGTATCTGCACCCCATTTTACATTCTCATACTCAGGACCCTCATGATGAGTTTCCTTGATCTGTCTGTTCCACTGTATACCAGTCCTTACTGGCAAAGCCTATTGCATCCAATTTTCTCCATCATGGCTATGGAGCACAGCTCTTGATTTCTCTTTGTAGCTCCCCTTCTGTATTCATAAATTCTAGGTTCTCCCTAACCTAGAGTTTTATAGACCTTTCTTTTCCTCTGTTGCTTCACAGAAATTGTTCCCTCCTATTTCTCTCTCCAGGGATGTCTCTGTGCCTGGCTACACCTATTGCTATTTTCCCAGTGTGCAAATGGAAATGTTAGTGGTAGGAAGAGGCCAACCTTTTATATCCAATACAACTAAAACTACTTGGTGATTAGACAAAAGACTCTTTCAAATGTGAGCTGGAGTGCTCAGTTAGAAGCACAGAATCAATGTCTCAGTTTATTACTGTTTCCTGTATTGGTTTCTATACTTGCCTATCAAAACCAGACTAGTTTTTGAAGTTACCTCATACAGAGATCAACTTAAACCAGTGAAGTCCCAGTGCTTAATTACCTTTGCGTTAATAAGTTTGTAGATTACAGATGGGATTCAGTAAGTGCTTACAGTTGCAGGTCTTTAACTAAGATACTCAATTAAATCTGCCATTTTTTCCATGTTTTCAAACCCAGCATTTTTACTGCCTTTTAGATTTTAAAAATCAGTTAGGAAGCAAGTGGTCTCTGGATAGATGGCATTAATTCTAGTAGTTTTGCATCATGGAGATTGGAGAAAATGGTTATTACTATGAAATTGTGCTTCCTTAAAATAAAAGTTTTAGAAGTTCTTCTAATAAGTACAAATAAATGGTTTTATTTGTTTCAACAATCATATGGTAATTTGACATATGTGAAAATTGATTTTAAATATTTACTTTTCCTACTTTTGTAAACATATTGTTTTCCCTGCTCTCCCCCTTTTTTTTTTTTTCCAGGACCCTTCACTTCTTCAGGAGACAGTAAATTCTGCTGCTGCTCTTATCATGGCATTAATAAAGGACAGAAACCCGGAGCTGATTGGCCAGCTGTTGGTAGCATAAGACCATAAATCATGTGTAGCTTTTGGAAACCTTTGTTTTTCATCATCTATTCACCAAAGGTCTTAAGTCATTTTACTCTTTAATTAAAACTATGGATTTATGCCATTTACTATTAAGGTCCTTTAACAGCATATTTTTGATACTTAAAATGGAAGTCTGATATTATGTATAAAGTGTAATAGGAAATACAAATAATTCTGAGATACACTGGGTACATACTGTGAGGAATGATACTGAAATGTTTTTTAAGGTACTGATCATTTAAAAAGGTGCACACAGGACACCAAAACATTCATGCAGAATTGTCTTTAAACATGTGTGTGGTTGTACTCTAGGACTGCATGACTTAAATTTTATTTAAGATAAATTAATCCTAAAGCACAGCTTATCTACTTTATATGAAATTATTTAAAAATTGTTGCTTTAATACCTATCAGTGAATGCAGAGTTCATTACAGAGTGTAGCCTTCCTGACATTAAAAGAAACACATATTGCAAGAAGTGTGGGAAGGGTCAGGTCCCCATCCTCTGTGAAATGAAGGTAACCTCAAATCAAAGAAAAGACATGCATGGGGATAACAAGGTGCTAAACCCCAGTTTTCCATATGCAGTATGCTCTGGCTGTAGCCTTTTGGTGCTACGCTTCTTCCAGTGCCCACGTGCCATCATTCAGAACTAGCTCCTGTAGCACCACTGAGTTACTGTAGTGCAAATACTCTGTTTTTGCACATCTGTGTATGTATATGCATGTATGTGTGTATGAATGCTTAAAGGGTGAGAAAAGGGTTAGGACCGAAAAAAATGTTTCACTACCCGATCTATAGGTCATGGAGAAATAGGAAGGTTCTTTTAACTCAGCTGTGAAAATACGATTTTCGTCTCTTGCTGATTAACATATGTTTGTATTAAATAGTAGTCAAGAGACTAGGCCTTATGAATTCAAATATATGCTCCATGGATAGTCAAGTGTGCACAATTGGGACAGGAAGATGAAATGGTGAATGATTATTATGTGGAGTATCTCCAAGTGTCACAACCATTAAGAGCAATACAAGAAGAGTCCCTGAAAACATCTGTCCCTCCCTATGCAGCAGACTCAGGAATTCCATCTCTCTTGCAATTTGTGAAGGGGCTAGGTTAGTGTCTTGCTTACCTGCTGTGACTAGAATGCAGTCTTGGAGCAGTATTCCCACAAGAAGTGTTCAGTGAGTCCCTGATTCAATCTGTCCTGAGTGAGAGCACTGTCAGTTCAGCAAGTTTCCCTCTAAAAACAGCATTCCTCCCCTTACTCCCACCATGTTCCACACCCTCTCATGCTCTGCACTTGTTTCCCTTCCTCTTTCCCTTGACATGACTATCTATAATGCTAGTTTAAATCCCTTTTAGAAGCTGATCTTGATCCCAAAACTTCCTTCACTGTATAATAAAATAAAGAGTTTTTAGCTGAGGATTCTGTATCCAAAGCAGACATTTTCTTCCACACAGAAGTCATGCAAAGACAGCTAACAAAGTTCTTGTACATCATCTGCTTTTTTCTTTGCTTCTTTCTCCTCTCTACTTTGATTAATAATTTGTCCTTTCTGTCATTGTATAACATAAACATTCATATTAGCTTTTTGTATGGCTATACAATAGGCATATTTTGTTCATTCATGTCTGTTCATATGCAGAGTATGCAAATAAATGAAGAACTAAAGAATTTATTACTGGTATTCATAATTTAACAGGACAGCTCTCACAAATAAGTTTTCTGAATTTGCTTTTATATTAATAAATTTGATGAAAGAATTCGTTTCACAGGCTTTTAAAAGACATGATGAAAGATGTCTCTTCGAGCGTATTTTGTGATTCTTTTTTGCTTGAAGACTAAAATACAATGTGATGTGTTTTCCCCAATTAATAAGCAAGTGAATTTAGAACATCCATAATGTTTTCTAGCCACTCTAATTTACATCATGATATTACCTTAACGCTGGTTTGTGTGTAACATCATTTGCTTAAACAGAACCTTTTATTTTTTAAGGTGGTTTTACTTACATTCTCCTAAAAGGATTTCCATCCAATTAAAAATGATACTGCAATGAATTGCTGTAATGAAAAAATATAGTTGTTTATGGACTTATTTTGAAAAGAAAACAGAGAACGCACAACAAAAAGTAAATGTAGGGTCATCAAATATACTTAGTACTAATCTTAAAAGGAAGATAAGATTAATTGCTAATGTACTGTTAATCATTGCATTATGGATTTTTTAATCTTTAACAATCTTTTCAAATAATCTACAACCACTGAAAAATCTATTTTGCTGGAAGCAAATACACCAACAACAGAACTACTAAAACAGATCATGAAATACTAGAACTGCAGTAAAAAACCAAAAAACAAAGAGAAACTGGACTGTGATTAATGCTATTGTGTATCCAAACCAAATTGAAATGGTCTTTTGGGTGATTGTTAGTACTTACAATGGGAATAAAAATATAAAATGAAATTAAGAAACTGTTTGATTGTTTTTTGTCTGTGCATAGCTTCTCACAAATAGCAGTATACATGAGAAACTTGGCAGCCTTTTGTACAAACATGCTGTTTTGAATTTAACTAGTGAATCAGTCACCACCCATATTGCTTTGAACATTTGGACAGAGATAACAGAGTATAAATAAAAGCTCAGACTCTGCCAGCCTTGCTTACCTTACTCCTTAAGCACTCTAATTAGTATTCCTTGGGTAGTGTTCATTAGAAAAGAGAATGCAGAATATGGCCCTAGAAATGCTTTTTGTAACTGCCAAGTCGAGTAAATTAGATTTGTATACTGAAACTAACCTACTTCATGGAAAATCTGAAATGTAAATTACTTTTTTTGTCTTAGAAGTCAAGCAGAAGAATTCCTACTTACAGTCTTTCTTTAGCTTTTCAGGCGGTCTAGCTTGAAAAAAAAATGGTTTGATGGTCCTCTAAAAATGGCTGAAAGAATGAAAAGGATAGAATATGATGAAATTAAAAACAAAAAACACCCAACACCCCAAAACCAAACCAAAAAGCAAAGAGAAACAAAGTGAAATGTTACCCTATTGCAATCAGTGGCATAGTAGAGTCAACTTTAGTTGACTTTAAAATACCACAATGAAGCTTTTAGCTCATCTTGATAATTAACGTAGGCTGCAGAACAAAAAGTGTTTCTGGATGCTGTGAAGCTTTTGGTGCATTCAAATTTGTATTTCTATGTGACATCAAAGTCTCATCATTGCCACAGTGCTGTTGTAGATGTCACCCAAAGAGAAGTTTCCAAAGACATGTAAGGTTTCCGATTACTACTTGGGACTTTCTGAGGATACAGCAAGTTTTCCTGTCTGTAGGTTACTCCACCAGGGAAGAGACATACTTTGTTTGCTCTATTCTCCATGTCTAGGACACTTGCTACTGCTCACTGCTTTTTGCTTGGGTTTTATGTATGAAGAAGAGCACATTCACTTCCAGACATGCAAAAGCTTTTTATTTTCTATCTCCTTTCTCTTCGTCCATAACTTTGATCTGAAAAATTCTGGTTCATGTTATAAAGCGTCCACCAAGATGTGCAGACAATGGATGCTTCCCTTCATTCTTGTCGAGGAAGGTTTTGGGGCTCAGGAATAGGCTCATATTAACAGTGTTCCTTTAGGTGCCAGAGGCTGTGGCCAGAGTTACCTTTGTCCTGGATCAGTGTGACTGCTCTGATGACTGGTAATTGTAACAACTGTGTGTTATGGGACAAACTGAGCCCTTCAGAGTATTAGTACTGCCTCAACCTCATGGTTTTTAAGATTGCTGATTATTCTCTCTGGTCTAGATGCCAGACACACTAATCTTATTCCTGTCTGACTGGAGAAAATCCAGTATTTAGTTATTAGATTGATTAATTCAGATGCATAGTTTAGTAGATGGTCAATTCTTCTCCTTGTATAGGTAATGATAGAATGGTATTCAGAGGACTTTCCTCCTGTTTGTTTCAAAAATCACTTATTAAAATCCCAACTAATTCTCACTGAAACAGGGAGAGCTGCTGAGGCTTCTAAAAAGAACAATATCTTCAAGGGCTCGCATTGGTAAAATCTCTTATGAAATTTTAAGGTATAAATTTATATATTATTTTTATGTTCTAGAAATATGTAATTATAACATGAAAAGAAGTTCAGCTATAACTACAGTTATATTTAAGGCCAGTCTTGAAGAGCTGAATTCCAAGAGACTTAAAAAACTGCTTTCAATATTCCTGCCCAACTCAATCAATCCAGTCTTTAGCACCGCACCTGATTTTGAATAATTTGTGATGGCACCCAGTTCCGTGACTGATGCCCTGCTCTGGGTGCCTACAATGAGATATCAAGGTAAAGTATGAAAATGGGTTCAAATCTTTGTGGCCCAAATGCCTGCACTTTCAACTTCAGACTGGTAATTTTTTATGACATCCATCTCCCTTGGCCCATTCCCCTGGTTGTTTACCACAATTCAGTTTGTCTTGTGCTTCTGGCAAGCAGCAAGGGAAAGAAGCGGTCACTGGCATTGCATTTTTTCCCAGTGTAAATTGATTTTGATTGACAGGGCTGTAAAGCTCCTTTTAAATATACATTTTCCTTCATTATTTCTTACAGGAATACTCAATTAGTTGTGAGATCTAAAAAACACAATTGCAGCACCTGTGCTGAGGAAACAGGCCCAACTGTGAAAATACATTTATGGCAGAATATAGTTCCTTGCCTTGCATACACAAACCTGGGGAGCAAAGTGACATTTCTTATTTTATTTATTCCAAGGTTAATTTAAGTATACTTTTCAGTCTTTAGATTGAAATGGATCTTGTCCTTCCTCCTGCACCTATTCCTGTCTCAGAAACTAAAATTATAATTCAGTTAAAATGCCACAACACTGAATTATAACACAGTTACAAAGATAAATGGGTAAGGGACTTGGACAAGGAAAAAGTGATATGAATTTAAATAACATGGAGAAGCAAGGAGTCAAGAGAGAATATACCAGAGCTCCTCCAGATGGCAAAACTTGCAGAGGGGACCCCTTGAATGGCACAATAGGCTAAGGGCTGCAGGCAGGAATGCCTTCCAGATTCAGTAGCACTTGAGCTGGCAGCTCAATAAGGCATTTTCCTGTTCAGCAGCCATTTTCGATGATCATATCCCTTGGTTAGTTGTTTGTTGCTACTTCTTCATCTCCTTCTTTTGCATTACTCTGCCTCCTTTCTTTTGTTTCTGTTCCTCAGACTGGACACTTCAGATTTCACATTTTCTTTTCATTTCAGCCATTCCTGTCTTCCTGCACCCTTCTCTCATCCTTTCCCCCCCTTCTGTTGCTTATTCTTTCTTTCTGTATTTGTCACTCTTTTTCCATTCCTCCCAGCCCACCATCGTTGAAGGAGACGATTCTCCGCTCCCTTCAGTCCACAAGCCAGGCCGTGGTCTGGCATCAGAAACCCTTCCTCGCTCCTGGATCGAGAACTGAGGCGTTTGGGCTCTGGCACCTCCGCGCTGCTCACAGCTGGGACCAAAAACAGATGTCACTTCCGCTGCCAGCTGCCGGGAGATGAGCAGCAGCTGCCTGAAGGGACAGACCTCCTGCATGGCAGCTGCTGGGCTGACACTGAATGCCACTTATTATCTGGCGTCAAGCTGCAGGCAGAGCCATCCCACTGAAGGGGAAATAATCTGCTCCAAGGTCAGGCTCCCCCTTCCCCCACTTCAGTAGCCAAACTTGGGTTTGTAAAGTCAGCACCTAGTCAAGAAGCCAGATTTGCAAATCCATCAGTGGCAGCAACAACAAAAAGTGAAAGAAGAGAAGCCAATCCAGGTACAGCTTGTAGTCCTGGCAAGTGGGAAAAGTATGTTTTCAATTACTAACCAGTGGCTTTGCCAGGAGTTGCTCAGAGACAAAAAACAAGGAACCCCACGATGCTGTGTTAAGCAGTTCCTTTCCACAGCAGAGACACAGCCTCATTGAAGCTCTACTGAAGTCAGTGGGACTGAAAGTTCCTTGCAGTGCATTCAGGAATGCATGGCATCTCCTCCCTCCAGCCATCTTCAGCTAACCCACACATAACCATACTGGTTATGCTGGGGTTTTATTATTATTATTATCATCATTATTTTTATTGTGCTGCAGTTTTAAGTGTGTATTTATGCTGTGCTCAACTCTCTTGCCATTTGGTGGGGCAACGTTATGGTCTTGATTAATGCCAACTATGTCTTGGAATTTAGTTGTGACTCCAGCTTAAGCACCCACTGGCCTATGGTACTTGGGGTTATAGGGGCACTTCTGAAGGGCAGTTTGGAATTTAAAATCTCTTTAAATACTCACTGTGAATCCAGTGACAGCACAGTAAGCCTAAAAGGATGATTTTGTGCACGATTAGAAGAAGCCTTGATCTCATGACACTGTGTTTTGTCCCTCTCTCCTGTACATTGAGGGCTGTGCTGCTGTGTAGCAATTCAGTTGAGGAAGCTGAAAACCTGTTATCTGGCTGGAAACTAACCCTACAAAAAGTGATTAGCTTTCACCAGGCACCAGGTGGGATGTCTTTGGGGGAGGAGGTACTTCGCGATTCCTGCTGCAAAGGGATGTGCTGGAGGCATGTAGGGCTGCAGCAACAGAATCATAGATTAGCGTAAACTGACACTCAGTTGTACCATAGGGCACTAGTTTTGTAACTTTGCAGTCTCAGGTCCTGCATATGTTGAGGGCAAGATGAATATTTGTTATTCTAACTCTGTTATTCCCCTTCTGCGGACAAGGGTGCATACGTAGGTGAAGCACAGGATGGCCAGACACTGCACGTGGCTCCTCTCTTTGGCTGTCACGTACAGAATTTGTGAGCAGTGAAGTAAGCCCTGGTTGTGTGTTGTGACATGCAAACCTCTCCGAAAATGATACATCTGAAAATGCTCAGAGGTGAACTGCATTCCAGACTGGTAGGTCAGGATAAGAAAAGGAAGGAAGGAAACGAGGTGTCTCTCGCTCCTTCTTGGGAGTGGCTGCTTACAGCAGATCAAAGAAGTACTTTTATGATGGATATTCAAGAAAAGCTGCAAAATGCCTTGAGTGCACAGCACAAAAGGCACATTACATCTCCTTAGTTGTTTTGTTGGGGTTTTTTTTCTGCTTCTTCTTTTAAAGCAACTGGCTTCACCGACTTTGGTCTTTAATCCTGCTTTTGATTGTGCACCCTTGTGTAGGCAGCTCCACAGAGCTGTGGAATGTGCAGGATTTGTCCAAAGCTTTGCTGCACCACAGCATGGTTACTTATGGTTACTTACAGTGTAAGGACGGGCATTACAGTGGCAGCAATGCACCCTCTGCTGGTGTTCATCACTATTTTATCCAAAATCTTCCCCAAGTTAACTATCGATAAACCCTGCTGATGGTAGAGGAAGGGCCAATATTTCCCTTTCCATCTTTGCTGATTCCCAGCAGTGATAACGTGAGGTGTTGAGATGAGCTGAAAAAACACTCAGCAT